AAAGAGCAGTTCAACAAGATAATTTGATTTTATTAACTGAGTTGAGTTGACCTTGGTTAGGAGTTTCCAGGGTTGATGTGTCTCGCATTAGCCCTTTGCTCAAGGTTAGCTGTAGAAACTCTTTACAAGAGGCAATTTACATTGTCAACTCAATTGATAAAACCAAATTATCTTCATCTGTCTTTGCAAGACCAACAGGAATGTCTTAGCCATTCATTCAAGTTACTTGCAGCGAAGAAAGGAAATGGCGTGGAGTGTATGATCAAAGTGACCATTAGCATTGAAATCCTGATTTCATAATGCAAAAAAACATAACTTTTGATTAATAGTAACATAGTTTCTACTGAGGTGTAGATGTAAAATACTAAGCAAAGTGTTTCTTTGGACTCAAAAGCCTTTTGGACTGTGGGTATTTCTGTGCATCATCCTCTTTCTTTTTGTTTACTCCATCCTCACCTTCTGTCTTTTTTCTGCCGTTAAAAAGAAAGAAATGTAAAAACAGTAGAACACCTTGTAAACCAGGTTAACTTTAACCCCCTGCAAACTTGAACAAGATATTATTTCTCTTAATTAACTTAACCACACCTCTTAAAAATTTAGTAAGTTGTACAAAGGTAAAAAAAGATAAAAATGTATGAGATTCCAGACTTAGACATTGTTCTATAAGAATATGGCACCAAACCTTTTCAGTGAGGTGGGTTGTGAATTTTGTTATTTCTGCTCCTAGACTAACTGCAGTGTCTCATGACTGACTATGAAATGTAAGCTCTTGTGTATGGTGTGTTGCCATCCAGTAGAGAGCAAATGAAAATGTTAAGTTAAATCCATTCCACTGATGCTTACTTTTTCCCAGTTTTGGGTCTGCCTGCTGTCTTTGGCCGGGATGACTTTGGACGGCTACTTTTGGGTCTTGCCATAGGTTCATCATACCCCAAGGCATAGTTCATGTGTTCATAAGTCAAGTACACACTGGATAAATCTGTTTCATTGAGCTAAAAGCACAGAGTTATTAATAATAGATTAATCTTATAAACCTCATCTTCTCAGTCTGCACAGCGAGTTATGGAACCTAGTTTTTTCTACTTGGAATCATGCCCATGTGCTTCACGATTGAGCCATAAATCCAAATGGAAAAAAAACTTGAGCCATAACTCACAGGATGGATCATGAACTCAGTTGGTAAGAAGTATTTATGATTTTAAATATCATCATCATTATTAAATGTCTGGAATTTACAGAGAAGGAAAAGTAAACCAAAGTAAATGAATGATGGTGTACCTCCTTGTTCTTGTCTTTAGGATCTGGGCTTGGAGAGGCTTTTCTCATGTTGTTCCCAGAATATGCCACAAATTTCTGAAGGGAAAGATGTGACTTTTTAGTTATATAATCATATCAACTGGGTTGCACTAGGACAACAATACAAGTAACTGCCTGAAACATTCTTATATTAACTAGCGATCATCATGTCAATAATTGACTATTTTCATTTCACATATTCAACTTTGTACTAATCTTTCAAATAAAATAGTATTTTTGCCTGAATTAATTATTAAATTTATGCGATCGACACATAAATCATGACCATGTGAAAAATTGATGTTAAAGTTGAAAATATTTATGATTATCTGACCAAGCTGGCAGACCAGAGATATATGTTTTTAATGCTTTGTCATTAGTATCATCATTATTATTATCATTGCAGTTAAATGCAATTTGATGGAGTTAAAAACAGGGCGTTCTCTAGTAGTCAGCAGTCTTTGGAAAATGCGCGGCCGTTGGAATTCCATGTGCTCTTCGTTGGAGGTGTTCTTGTGTGTGCTTTGAGCATGAACTTGCAGTGTTGTAAGGAGTGGCAGCTTATTACCCAGGCAGTTTTCCCCACCCCTTCCCTCCCTCTTTCCACTGTTCATTCATGGTGACAGGTGCCTGTTTCCCTTTCTTGTGTGGGGGCTCATGGCTGAGGTGCTGGGATTTGCTAGCTATGGGAGAAGTCTCCATCTGGGAACTGGCTGCCAATAGTAGAAGCTCCTGGATGTTTGAGGCACCCAAACTCCACTTTGCGATGCAATTGTTGGTAATATAATGATCATTATCATCAATATTAATCTTTAACATCATCATCATTATAATTATTATCATACAGCATCACTTACAAGCTGCCATTCTCCTAATTCTTCATTCCACGATACATGCTGCTCAATTAGATCCTGGGAAAAAGTTTAAGAAAGTGTAAGTTTGCAAAAAATAACAAAACTTATTTATCAGCTAACTTCACTCATTGTCAGAAGTGACCATAATCCAGTGTAGGATGCAATCTCACCTGAAATTCAAGAGGAATGAAGCTCTCAATCAGCTTGGTTTCAAACTGAAGTTCTTTCCGCAGCTCCCTAATACTGTCTAACAAACCTTCTGTTTCACGCTGGTGTTCTTGTTGTTGGTCTGCCATCTGAAGAGGAGAAAAATTGCCAAAGACGTTATTTAAAAAAATATGAGAGTACGGTAATCGATCACAAACAGCAACAAAATTAGTTGACACACAACACCATGCATGTTGTCACATTTAAATAAGTATTTAGGAGCAAAAAGGTGCACACAACTTTTAGACTGTCCCTTTCCATTCAGGTGCATAAATGGCAACAAATGCTAGGAGGAAGGGGGAAAGGGTTGCAATATAGAATGGACTAGCATCTCACCCAAGGAAAAAAAGCCATAAAAAATTGTCACATACATGTAGTTCTGTAGAGAGCAGGTTTAGCTAATTAAGGAGGTATAGGCCTCTTGGTTTGTGAGTGGTTTTTACAATTCAATTCTCAATATCAACATATTAAATACCTCTGATTTTGCACTCATAAGCATGCTCCAAACTTTCTTAAGCTTCTTTGTTTTCCCAGCAGCTTCTTCTTGAAGATTTGCATACTTTTCCTCAATGTCAATTCTCTCTTGCTACATGAAAGACACATCAACCAAATAAACTCACTGTCAGAGTATTTATCATCAAATCCACCATTAAAATGTACTGTTACATCTCTCAGTAAGCATTGGTCTAATTAGCAGGTCATATTTCACTGTAAGGTTCACTAAATTCAAAAGATTGTTTGAATTGGAATCTCCCCCAACTATCTGAACCCAAAGATAAAATACATATCTTCAGTTATTAATCATGTTTTCTATAGAAGCTACAGACCGAGTTTTTTCTTCCACTCAGCTTTCATGGCCCAAGCCCAAAGCAAGCACACTATAAATCACAATGGAAAAATTGAGGTTCTGTAACTTACAGAATTCAACTTACTTGAACTCTTTGCAAGAGGTATCTTTACGGGCATTCTCAAATTGATGTCAGTATAATTTGGGAAATCACTTGAGTCCATCTGATTTAAGGGTGGCTTTAAAATTCTTATTCACCATTTAGTTGGGATATTTTGCACACATTCAACTTACCTCTTTTTCTTCAATAAGTTTCTGCAATTCTTCCTCTCTTTGCTTTCTGGCAGAGAGTTCTTTAGCAGATTGTTCCAAGAGAAGCTCTTGTTCTTTGGCCTTTTCCAGCTATAAATTGACAATGACACAGTAAAGAACATTTTGTCTCAAAGGTTGGACCAAAAAAAAAGTTTTAACTGCAAGACCATGTCAACCACTCACAATGAAAGATTTGCATTCACCCTTTCCACCCTAAGATCAGTATGCATATTCTCCATACTGTTCTCTATACATTTCCAAAGGAAGAATTTCCAAAAAGAATTTGCCTTATAATCAGGAGTTTCTTGATTTGGTGATCAATTCTTTTATTCTGGTGACCTTAATGTGAGATTCATGGCTGATATTGTGTGGAGAAATTTGATGTTGGTAACTCTCAGGGGTCAATGGATTAACATTTAACATAACATACTAGTGAAATTCAACAAACTATTTACACATGTAGGTAAAATTCTTTTAATTTAAATTAGTGCTGAAGCCTTGGAAATCACTATCTTCTATACAGAAAGTACAGATATGGCAATTGAGGTACGATATCATTCAGATAGTAACAATCCACATTGAGTGACCAATTTGTAATTTCTCCATACAATGTCAGTCTATTGTCCCAAAGAAAGATGTTAAGAAGATAGAAAAACATCAACTTATGGATATTGTTTGATTTGATATTGAATTCTCTGTGCCACAATTATGAGAAATGTATAACAGACAGTGGGGTAAACTCAATGTCATAGCTGGCTTACTGACCAGATTCACTCCCCCAACAATGATCTTGCTTTCCACAGCCTTAAGTTTCTCTTGAAGTCGTATGTGTTCCATTCTTCAAAAAAAAAATTTTAAAATGGATTGAATCAGTGACTAAGCTAACAGCTTTTCAAATTTTACAATGAATTATTCACGCATTTTGATTGGTTCTTCAATAGTTCTTCCTTATAATCTATTGTAGGGCAGACACATGGATAACATCACCATTAACAACACTTTGCCTTTAAATTAAATACAACAAATCAATTCTCTGTTGTGGTGGGTCTGTTCAGTAACAATCACAGAAGAAGTCAAAATGTTGCGAAAAGAATATCAGTGACAGACTCTGCTAAGCTTCACATGCCACTTTTTTGTTCTCACCACATTTTGTAATGTCATCTGTGATCTGAATAAGCATACAGCATCATAGCATCTTTTTATTAACCTCTGAGTCTCCATGAAGAACTGAAGCTCAGACCTTTGGTTTCCACAACCTTATGCTAAAAATACCAATGAGCTAAGATTTTGTGAGGGGTACTGACTGAGAGAGATAGCAGCTTGCTCTTGAGATAATGACATAATGAACCAGTCACAGATCAAACCTGAACTTTGTTACCCAAACTAAATCATGCTAGCTACTAAATCACCACAGTCTTCATATCTCAGTACTACAACTCAAATAAAGTCCTGCAATAAACAAGAATGAATTAAGTCCATACTCAGAATCCTTGATATCCTTCTCTCTCTTTTCCAGTTCTTCTGCAGCCCTATTTCTCTCTTCCTCTGCCATGTCTGTTTTCTGTTGCAGATTTTCTCTTTCTGCTTCTATCTTAGCTCTAAGTTCTTTTACTTTCTCAGGCGGAAGAGCATGCTTGCCTACAGGAGTACAAAAACAAAATCTATTACCCTGTATAAGATCAGGTAACCTGGAGTACCAGAAAGTTCAGTAATAAATTATAACTTCTACTTATTGTACAAATTTTGAACAATAATTTCATGTTGAGTTGATATTTCAGGGTAACCAAGAGCTATTAGGAACAGGCCATTAAATTTACAATTTTTTTTTTTTTGGTATCAAACAAAGTGAAAAACCATTTGATTTTTTCTTAAAGTGGAAAACAAATTAAAAACGTCCCACTTTGTCTATACATATGAAAAAAAAAATTTAATAAATACTGGTCAGAATTTTTCGATATAACCTGGCCTATTCTAAAGGTGAAAAAAATTCAAAACAGCGCACTTCATCTCAGTTCACAAATTAATCAAACAATGTACACATTTTCAAGCAATTTTCAGAAGGACTAATATCAGAGGTTTTAAATTGGTCTTAAATAAGGTTCCCAAGTATATATCAAACCTGTTAATTGATGAGTCTAGCAAATCATAATCTTTTAAGATTCATTCCTTTCCTATATAAACTTTATTCAAGTTGTAGTATCCACACTGGGCCCAGTTGAATAAAGGGTGGATAACACTATCCAGCACGTAAATTGCTATCCAGCTGATAAATGATAGCAAAACATATTGCATTGTCCACTATCTAGCAATTTATCCAATGGATAGCATTATCCAACCTTTGAACAACTGGGGCCTTTTTTCATTGCTTGCTCCTGTTTTCATATGCATGCTCATTTAGTCATTTCTTTTGATCCATAAAACTTGTCATTGAAGAATTTTCAATGTTTATGTTGCTTCCACTTTGATAAGCCTTGCTATTTTGCAGGTAGGGATTGTTCCATGTGTATTTTAATTCGAATAATAAAAAATAAATTTGTTGCTTGTATCACTGTTGTTTATCAACTTACTTTTTTTTCTGTGTTTCTTTTTCCTTTTGACTATTTCTCCACCTTCTTCAACTTCTTCCTCAGACTCACTCTCCTCCTCACCACCGCCTCCCTCTGATGAAACAGAAACAATTATTAATAATTTAACCCTTTCACTCTCAATGATCGCTAATAATTCTCCTTATGGTCTGCTATGCAATCTTTATGATGTCAGCTCAGAGAATTTGGTATTGGATCAACTAATAATCCACAAATAATTTATATTCTACTTTAGTGTCATTACTTGTTGGTGTGACATTGTCCCCAGTGATATTGAAAGGAGATCCTGTCTTGGTTACTCATCAGGGATTATTTAAAGGATCAACACATTTATTTGTCATTCCAGCTACATGTAAAGGAAATGTTGTAATTTGTAGTGAATTTCTTGTTTAGTAAGTTACTGATAACAGGCCCAGTGCCCTAATCACTTGGCCACACTACCTCCATATGTATACATTAAGTAAACTTGCCTTCCACAAGCTGTGCCTTAAGTCTCTCAATCTCCTTCTGAAATTCTCTCAGCAGTGCATCCTTGGGATCTTCATTAATCTTAGCTTTGTTCTTGATATTTTTGGCACGGTTTGCATATCTGTTTGTAAATTTTATATTGCACACATGAGGGAACTTAACTCTTAAGGGCTATTAAAGGTTATTTGAAAGATGATTAATGCTATAAACCTACATTAAAAGTCCATAACCTTTGTTTGGAGTGCTCTTGCATGAAATTGTATTTTGGGACTGAGTAATTTTATCAAAGTGAAATTATTGTCTAAATTAACAATTAAATCCATATACAAAGTCAAATTAATGATACTAATTAACGAATGGCTCGTTACTTATCAACTGGGAGAAGGGCAAGGAGGGGGGCTCACTTCTAGTCTTTAGATAAATTCTGTGTATTTTCCTAAAAACTTAATTTTAGCATACATGAGTATCTTATCAGCACAAGTTTTAAAGACAAAACTTCACCCACCTGAGGGTACTTATTGTTTCATCAAAGTTGTAATCTGCAGGGCCAATGTTAGCAATCTGAAGAATTAGACATTATAGTGTGTTAAAAAAAGCCACAGAATCTATCCAAGCCAAAAATGTTTCAGTAACTTTTGTTCTTTGCAACACATAGTTTCTTACAGCTAATCTAACAAAGTTAGCCTGTGAAGCCTAATACAGTGATCAAACTTAGGGCCCATGAGTGGGGATTAATTTTGGCTGCCAGGAGTTCCAATTTCCTGTGCAAACTTTCAAGGAAAACATAAGAGCCAACTGCTGTCTTGCAAAAAAGTAAAGTTCAACATTCATAGGAGTCTGTCAAAAGAAACAAAAGTAGTAAAAAAGAAAACTCAAGACTTCTCAAACACAAAGCTTGTTTAATACAGGTAGCTTGTTGATTTACCCTTCTGTTTAAAGCATCAAAAAAGATATACACTTCTATAACACAGAGACTAATGATGGTTAATGTGTGGTTGTTTGTAAGAGACAAATGTGAGACAAACAGGTTCTGACAGCCTGGAAGCACCCCACCATAGTCATTACAACATTTGCACAAATGCAGATATTTGACTGCTGTTTGTAAAGCCTAGTAGCTAGTACTCCAAGAACCTTGTGGCTGCTCATTAAAATTAAAAATGAATGTGATGCCTGTTGCAAGTGAAACTACATCAACACATTTCCATCACCATTTTCATATTTTTTAAATAAGTTCTATAATTATCATTCTCCATACATTCTTCAGCAAACAGGTAATGAGAATA